TTGGGTGCCCTAACTTCTTCAGCCATTCTCCAGTTGATGGGTATCTCTTCAGTTTCAAATTCTTTGCCACAACAAAAAAAGGCTAGAAATAATTTTGTACCTTCTTAGACTTCATTTCATTTGGGACTAATTCTCTCTTAATCTATCTCTTTTCTAATTCTCCCTCCTATTTCCCTGTTGAATGAGATGTATATCTGTACCCAACTCTCTTTCTCTCCTTCCCTGCTTTGACTAGTTCAGGTGAGTGAAATTCAAGTATCAGCAGCTCCCCACCCCTCTTTGTTTGCATAGACTTCTACTTATACATCCCAATTATGTGAGATAATTTCCCCAAATCTTCCTCTTGCTTTCCCACCTAGTGTATTATTCTTCTATTCTTTTTCCATCCTTTTTTTTAAAGATAATCAAGACATAGAAAACCACTCCCAGGCCTTCTCTCTAATCAGACTCCTTCCTTGAAGCTTGATGAGGAGAGGGTTTAAAAAGAGTACATAGATCATTTCCATAAATTAGAATGTAAGCAGTTTACCTTTGTTGAATTCCTTATGATGATTATTCATTCATGTTTAACTTTTTATGGTTCTCTTGACTCCTGTATCTACACCTCAAGATTTCTACATAGCTCTCATCTTTTCTTTAAAAATGCTTGAAAGTCTTCTATTTCATTAAAGATCACTTTTTTTTCTCTTGTAGGATCATGCTTAGTTTTGTTGGGTAAGGTATTCCTTTGGGTTCTGGAATATTGTATTCCGAACTCTCTGATTTTCTGAGTGGTGACTGCCAAAATCCTTTGTGATCCTTATTGTGGGTCCTCAGTTCTTGAGCTCTTTCTTTTTGGCTGCTTCTAGTATTTTTTATTTGATCTGGAAACTCCAGATTTTGGCTATAATCTTATGAATTTTCATTTTGGGATTTCTTCCAGGAAATAACCAGTGGATTCTTTCTACTTCTCTTTTGTCCGCCAGTTCTAAGATCTGGATAGTTTCCTTTCATGATTTCTTGAAATATATTTACTCTTATTTGGTCATGGCTTTCAGATATTCCAATGATTCTTAAATTGTCTTTTTTCAAAGTATTTTCAGGTCATCTTTATTTGATAAGTTACTTTGTATTTTCTTTTTTTTTTTAGTCTTTTGTCTTTGTTCTAATATTTCTTACTTTACATGGAGTCATTGGCTTCAATTCAGTACATTTTAATTTTCAGGGTATTTTTTGTTTGTGTAAGTGCATATTACTGGTTTTATGCCTGTTACTTTGCTGTTGTTGTTCAGTCATTTCAGTCACGTCCGACTCTTTGTAACTCCATTTGGGGTTTTCTTGGTAAAGATACTGGAGTGACTTGCCATTTCCTTCTCCAGCCTCTTATTCCAAACTATTAATTACCTTTCCATTTCTCTTTTCCATAGTTCTCATTTATTTTCTAAATTTTTTCCTCCAGTGCCCTTATTTCATCCATAAAAACCCCCAAAACATTTTGAACTCTTAAAAAAAACCAACATCCAAATCTTTTGTTTTGCCTCTTCTACGAATTCTGCTTGAACTTGTGCCCAAGCATTGAGGCTTTCCTTTCAGATATTTTAGAATTATTCTCTTCTTTCAGTTTTGTGTCTTGAGCATCCTAGTTACTATAATACCTTTTTATGGTGGGATTCTATTTTTGTTTGCTCATTTTTCCAGCTTACTTCCTGACTTTTGGCTTTATACTATGGCCAGGCTATACACAATTCTAGAAATAATGTCTGGGTTGGTCCTGCTTCTATTTTCTTGGGGCATTGAATATTGTGCCATTCCAGGATCTCAAGGACATCTCAGGCTGGAGACCTGCAAGCCTTGAGTGCTCCCAAAGTCCGCTCACTGCAGACTTGGCCTGCAAGTTTCTGACCTTGGTTTGAGTCTGAGCAATAGGTCTATGGGCTTGCTCTATTTTGAGTTTCCATAGACTGCTGTTGAACTTAGCCACTATCAGCCAGTAAGAAAGCTCTGTTTGTTCAGAGTAACAGAGTTGTTGGCTTCCCTTTGGTCTGAGATTTCTATCTTGATTAGTCCTCTGCAGTCTTCAGAATGGGTTATCAGCCAGAAAGTGAGATGACACTCAGCTCTTGTAGTCAGAACCATATAGCTATGGCTTGCTTCTTACCTTGCTCTTTGCTAGGCTCATTATCTAGGGCCTGTGAGCTCTCCTCACTCTGTAATTCCATCCTTAGGTACAGGTCCCTCACTGGTCCACCCTGGATTCATGACCTAGAACTAGGTAGTTGTTGTTGAGTTATTTTCAGTCATGTCTGATTCTGTGTGACCCCATTTGGGGTTTTCTTGACTAAGATACTAGAATGGTTTGCCATTCCTTTCTCCAGCTCATTTTACAGGTGAGGAAACTGAGGCAAACAGGGTTAAGTGACTTGACCAGGGTCACACAGCTAGTAAGTGTCTAAGGCCAGATTTTAACTCATAGAGATGAGTCTTCCTGACTCCAGGCCTGGCACTCTATCCACTTTGCCATGTAGCTGCCTAGAACTAGGTAGTGAATGGTAAAGCTGACAGCACCTGCCCCTGATATGGGACCTCTTCTTGTTCTGGCACACCATCTTTTTTTGCTCCACATGGCACTCCTAGCCAGATCCTGTCTCCAGTGTCCACAGATCTGTCTATCTCCCTATGTGGACCTGAGCTGGAAAAATGACTCACTGTGATTTTTTTCTTGGATTTCCTGATCAGGATTTAGTTTAGCTTATTTTCTGTTTGTAGGAGTATAGTGGTGGTGGTGGTGGTGGTGGTGGTGGTGGTGGTGTGTGGAGCTCAGAGTACTTCTGGCTATTATGCCATTTTGGCTCTACTCCTGGAGTTGAGTTTTAAAAGAAACAAATAGTCCTAAGAAGTGGAGGTGAGGAGGCATGGGGTATGGGGAATAGCTGGTGTAAAGGTAAGGAGATGGAAAATGTTCTATGTTGAAAACAACAATAAAACCAGTATAACCAGGGTAATAGGATCATAGATTGTGTGAAGGGAAAGAATGTGCCTTTAGGACAGAAGGGTACTTGAAGTTAGATTGTAAAGAGTTTTAAATACCAAATAAAGGAGTTTTTTTTTTTTTAATCCCTAGATGCAATAGGAGCTTTGCAATAAGCATCTACCTTCCCAGACCCTAGCCATTCCAGTTTCTGCATAAGAGTCGGGAAAACGGTACCTTCCATCCAAGTTCAGACCACAAGGCTCTGGGCTGAGTACCAACTTAGGAATTTTCACTTACAAAGCTGCTTGAGGTTCATCAGCTTCATGCAGTTGCCTACTTTTCTAGTCCCTCCTGAAGATGTATTCAGGTTGCTGGGTCTCTACTTGCCAACTACCATACTCTTTCTTATCTGATTGGCTACATATATTTAATTGAATCTTTGTTAACCTGGGCAAGTCAGAGTGGCTCTCCCCTACCCTGAGGAGGATCTTACATGCCTAGATATCATAGTCCTGACAAGGTGGCTCTAGAGAGAAAAGCCACTGATTATCTCTAGCATAATGTTGCTTCCACCTAGTTTTTTTCTTAAGTAGCCTCACCCTCAGCTTTCTCATGGCGTTTTCCAAGAGGCAGAGAGGTAAAGCAGTGGATAGAACACTGGGCTTAGAGTCAGGAAGATCTGAATTAAAACCCAGCCTGAGACAATTGCTATTTGTGTGACCCTGGGCAAGTCCCTTATCCTCTTTATCTCAGCTTCCTCAGTTCTAAAATAGAGATAATAGTATTTACCTGTCAGGGTTGTTGTGAAGATCAAATAATAATATCTGTAAATCATACATAGAACAGTGTCTGGCACATAGTAGGCACTTAATAAATCCCTCTTCCCATCCCTCCCCTTAGCCCACTTTTTTCCCATCCCCAAGCAACTGGGCATACTTGTATGTTCACCTGGGAAGCTCTGTGTGAATAGGCATGCTGAAAACATAAGTGTTTACTTAAGTAACTTGTGGAGGGAATAAATAAAATGGCCAGGGAAAGTTCTAAGAAAGAAAGTAACAAGCCTTGGAGGAAGACAAGGCTATGAAAAGAATTAGGAACTGTGAGGCAGATGTAGAAATGGAGGAATAAGATCTGGTCACGATGAGAAAGGAGAAATTTCAGATTTTAAGATTCTAGAGTAGCAGTTCGTAGGTTTCAATGAAGTATAAGTTATGACCCAAAGTGGGGGACCCTACTGCCTTCTCAGTCAGCCCTCCCACTTTTGGATTGCTCTGTTTTCTAGGAAGTTTTCCTCTAACTTTAACCCCAATCCATTTAGTTCTAAAGTATTTGTGTTCGTTTAGTCCTGGGCACTATATTTTAAGGAGGGAATCAGCAACCCAATCGATTGCCGTCCAGTTCAATTCTAGAAGCATTTATTAATTGCCTGCTATGCCTGAGCACTGTGGTGAGCGCTAGGAACACAGAGATAAGGAGAAGGGCAGTCCATACCCTCAAGGAGATAATATACTAATGAAGAATACAATATTTAAACAGACCAAAACACGCAGGATGATTTGAAGTGGGAGAGAGCCCTGAAAGTCTGAGGAACTTCAGGAATCGCTTAATAGGATAAGGTGAAAGAGTCGAGCCTTGAAGGAAGCTAGGAATTCAACACAGTGGAGGTGAGGTTTAATTTAATTCCTGGCACGGGGAAGGGTGTTGAGTGGGGAGAAACTATGGAAGGTCCTGAGGCAGAATTGGAATGTTGAAGTCTGGAGACCAGCAAAGAGGCAGATCTTCCATGGGAGACAAAAGCAAGGCTTTTTAAAACTTTGCAAATGATCAGGATCATACTGCAGCATTTCTCTCACACACTTGATTCCAACACTAGTACTAGAGCAATTAGACTAATTCAAATTTTGAAGATTGCCAAGATAAGGGAAAGAGGAAGGGGCATTCTAGGTACAAGAGTGGGGAGACTGCCTTGAATAGAGGTGAGAACTCGAGTTGGGGGCACCGAGAAGCCCACAGTTTATCAGATCAGGAAAGGGCTTTAGCGATCATCGGGATGCCTCGATGCTTGTGGCTTTTTATTTTTTTTGCAGAGGACGCAAAGGAAGACCGCAGGCGAGGCGTGAAACGGCTTGCCCAAAGGTCGGGGTTCGAAGGTCTGCCAGCCCACGTGCGGGGCGCTTTCCGCCACGCCTGCGCTGGCTCTCTCGGCATCCTTACGAAGAGCCCGCATCTGCGAGTCCGGGGACCGTGGGGGGGGGTGGGGTGTGTGGTAGGTGTAGCGATGTTGGGGGTGGAGGAGGGAGCAGCAGCGCGAGAGCTAACGGGCCGAGGCGGGAAAAGAGCCGCGCAGGCGCAGCTTGAAGCTCCGGCGGTCCCGGGATGGGGCCAGGGAGGGCGGAGTTTCGAGAAGGAAACTTGACCGCTTAGCGGCCAGCCGGCTGCGGCGCCGCGTTCCCCACCCCCCTCAGGTCGTTGGCGCTGCTCGCCCCAATTTTGGGGCGGGGGGCGGGGGACACTCTGGGCGGGGCGCCTTCCGCAGTCCCGTCGAGCGGGCCTCTGGTGGGAGCGGGCCGCGGGCAAATGTGAACTTGACCGGCTGGGCTGAGGGAAGCCCTGGCTAGTGAAGGTGGAGGCGGCGGGCGGGGGGGCGGAGGGGCCGAGGCCCCGGCTGGGGGCTGCGTCCGTCCAGGCCTTCCCCGCTAAACCCTCGGCCCAGGGGAGGGGCTTCGTGGAGGGAGCGGCGTTGGACGAGCTGCAGCTGCTGGAGGAAGAGCTGAGGAGCGTCCGGGAGGAGCTGTGCCAGTGCCAGGTGGGCGCCCGGGGCCTCCCTCCCTTCCCTCCTTCCCCTTCTTTTTCTCCTCCCCCTCCCTCCTTCCTTCTCCTTCCCCTCCCCTTTTTCTCTTTCCCCGCCCCCTTTCCCTCCTTCCCCCCCTTTTTCCTCTTCCCCTTCCCCTTTTTCAACCTTCCCCTTCCCCCCTTTTCCTTCTTTCTCTTCCCCCTTCCCTGCCTTCCCATTTTCCCTCTACTTGGCTCTCCTCTCCTCCTGCCCTCGCCCCACATTCCCCCCTCCTTTCTCCTCTCCCCTTCCCTCTTCTTTCTTTCCGTCTTGTCCTCCTCCCTCCCCCTCTCCTGCCCTTCCCCACTCCAACACTCCGGTCATCATCTCCTCCACCTACAGGAGCCTGGAGGAGGTTGAGCACCCTAGTGCATCCTTCTCATCTATGGACTTGAGAGTTTGGAAAAACTTGTAGAAAGGATTTATTCCGACTGTCTCATTTTATAGATGAGGACACTGAGGGGGAAGTTGACTTTCTGAAGATTGCCTAATAAAGAATTGAGTTGGGATTCCAACTCAGATCTTTTGACTACAAAGCCCAACTTCAGATTTTAGCTCCTTTCCTTTCAATCCCCAGGGACCCCAGACCATACCTTTATCTTTCAGTCCTTCCCCCCCCCCCCCAAGGTGTTCTGTTTCCTTATCCTCTCTAGTTCTGATACTTAACATTCTATGAAATGTGATGTTCCCCTCTCTTCAGACACAAATTCACATTGTTGGTTGGATGCTTTTGGCAACCAAAATGTTAAATGGGGTCAATGAACAGATCATAGAATTTCAGAGTTGGAAGGTACCTTAGAGATCATAAAGGAACAACAAATAGGAAGAATGTAGAGTAACCAAAAAAATTTTTCGTTAAGTGACGTGGAGTGAAAAGAACAGAGTCAGAAGTACAATATACCCAGTGATTGTAACAATTCAATATGAAGATGCGACAAACCTCTGGTCAAAAAGTACCAGAACTGACAGACACATTCTTCCAAACCCCATTAATAATTGATAATCTATTTTAAGGGGAGTTTGAACCTTGTAAAAGGATTTGACTGAATAGTTGCTGGTATCTGTCATGTAAAAATAAAATGAAGAAAAACATTTTAAAAATTAAAAATCTTAAATAGTGGGTCTTTATTTCAAGGAGAAGTTTGAGCTCTTTAAAAAGCAATACCCAATATCCAAAAGCAATTCTGCTTCCTATTTAAAAATGGGTTCAGTTCACTGTCCGTATGTAGAGTCTATGTAAGATAAGTGTGCTGATGGACCAGCTCTAGGGGTTGTTGGTTCAACTGAATGTCATAGTCTGGACAGTAAGCATTCTTATTCCACCTGGCTTTTCTGATGAAAATTATATAGACAAACAAAAGTGATTATGGATTTTATTAAGTTTTACAGTATTTCCCAGCTTTATACAGTTAGTGCAATGCTATCCACAAATGGAGAATCACTGGAAGCCCTTACCATCTATAGAGAATCCCTCTTCCATTTGGACTCTCCACAGCATCCTCTCACCACAAAGGCAAATAACCATTGACAAGCGTATCTCCCTATTTTATACCTTGATTGATGTTAACAATAAAAATTATACAAAAAAACCTAGCATTTATATAGCGTTTTAAAGTTAGCAAAGCCCTTTTCAAATGTCCCATCTGATCCTCACATCAACCTTGAGAGCTAGATGCTATCATTATCTTCATTACACAGAAGAGGAAACTGAGGCAGAGGTAAAGTGACTTGCCCAGGGTCACACAGCTAGTAAATCTGTGAGGCCTAATTTGAACTCATGTCTTTCTGACTCTTGAGTGTAGCATTCTATATCCACTGCATTGTCCAGAAAAAAGTTATTTCTTTTGTTTTATCTTTAAAAGAATTTTGTATGATTTTGACAATATGCATGGAAGACACATTACAATGATGTTTCAAAGGCTTTTTCTATAGTCAAACAAAAAGCACAGCAGGATCCTCTATTCTTTATAACTTTTAGTCAACTGGGTATATTAAAAAATGTGGCCTGATGTAGAACCTCATTTTCAGTAGGCTGCTTGTTTCTTTCTTAAGCTTTCATCAAGAATGTAAAGGAAGGAGGTTTAGTAGTACCAGATCTCTGGTACTGGCTAAGAAATAGAAAGCTAGATCAATGGAACATAGTAGACATACATTTTGCAGTAGCAAATAAATGTAATAACCTCGTATTAGACACACGTGAAGACTTACAATTTGGGGATAAGAATTCATTATTTGGTAAAAATTGTTGAGAAAACTGAAGAGCAGTATGGCAGAAATTGTGCCAGTATCTTACACCATTTACCAAGATTAGTACAAAATGGATACATGACCTAGATATAAAGAGATATTACAAGAAAATTAGGAGAACATGGAACATATTACTTATCAGATTTATGGATAGGTGAAAAATTTATGAATAAACAAGAGATAGAAAGCAAAATTAGGTGTAAAATAGATAATTTTTATTACATTAAATTAAAAAGGTTTTGTGCAAATAAAACAAATGTAGCCAAGATCAGAAAGAAAGCAGAAAATTGGGGAAAAAATTTATAGTTTTTTCACATAAAGGTCTCATCTCAAATATGTAAAGAAGTTTGTCAAATCTATAAAAATACAGGTCATTCCTCAATTGATAAATGGTCGAAGGATATGAACAGGCAATTTTCCAGTAAAGAAATGAAAACAATTTATAGTCATATGAAAAAATGCTCTACATCATTATTGATTTGAGAAATACAAATTAAAACAACCTTGAAATATTTTACATCTATCAGATTGGCTAAAATGATTGAAAAGGAAAGTGACAAATGTTGAAGATGTGGAAAAATTGGGACACAAATTCATTGTTGGTGAAAAATTGTGAACTGATCCAACCATTTTTTACAGTAATCTGGAATTATGCCAAAATAGTTATTAAACTCACTACATATTATACCCTTTGACCCAGTAACACCAATACTAGATTTATTATCGAAGATGACTAGGGAAAAAGGAAAAGAACCTAAAGTTCTAAAATGTTTATAGAAGCTCTCCTTGTGATGGCAAAGAACTGGAAATTTCGGGGATGCCCGTCAGTTGGGGAATGGTTGAACAAGTTATGGTATATGATTGAGATGAATACTACTATGGTATTAAGAAATAATGAGTTCAGTTATCTTGGAAGAACATGGAAAGACTTGCGTGAAATAATGAAGAGTGAAATGAGCAGAACCAAGAGAACATTAAATACAGTAACAGCAATGTTATTTTAAGAATGACTTTGAGGGGGTGCAGCTAGGTGGTACAGTGGATAGAGCACTGGCCCTGGAGTCAGGAGGACCTGAGTTCAATTCCAACCTCAGACTCATAATACTTACTAGCTGTGTGACTCTGGGCAAGTCACTTAACCCCAGTGTGTGTGTGTGTGTGTGTGTGTGTGTGTGTGTGTGTGTGTGTGTAT